GGGGGTGGTGAGACATCTGAGTAAAAGAAGGGGAAGAGAGGGAAGGCCTCCTGGGGTTTCTGGGCTCCCCCTAGGACCCTCCCTGGGTGCCAGGCAGCAGGGTGGCAGGGCCAAGCCCTTACAGGCCAAACACATCCTCTTCCTAAGCTTATAAGCTGGTGTGATTTTCAGAGAAACCGCCCACAAATCAGAGGGATCATCGGTCTAATTGTGCTTAGGGGGACTGGCTCCCCAAATGGATTGTCCATAAATGGAGATGAACCCTCAGAGATGCAGGCTGGGGGGCCACGGGCGGAGGGAGATGCAGTTCCAATGCTGCCTTACACACCAGGGTGTGTCCAATGACGCCCCCACCAGACTGGACAGCTCCAGCCCCAGGCTGAAGGTAAGGGAAAGGCGGGGGCCCTGAAGGGAAGCAAAGAAATGCCCTCCCCCAGGTATGGGTTCCCCCGCCCTCCTCGTCCTCAAAGCCCAGCAGACCCAACACCAGGCAGAAGTCAGCCAGGACAAACTCAGCTCACGCCTCTGAGCTTGAAGTCGGCCACACTTCGCAGCTAAGGGGCTGGGGGAAGGGGGACAGACAGACAGAGAAGACAGGCGGCAAGGAGGAGGAAAGAGAGGCTGAAGTAAATGCAGAAGGATCTGAGCAGGACCCTGAGGGCGTGCGGGCCCCTGGACCATCAGATGGACAGGAGTCGGACCGCTCCCCAGCCTACCCCTGGCCCACGCCTGCAAAGGCGGCAAGGTCAAGCCTTGATTACCCAGGCCAATTACTGAAAAATGGGGGGGGGGGGGGCTTCTGGCAAGGGCTTGACTGAAGACCATGAGTCCCTGTGGGCGGACACAGGGTCAGTGGGTGTCCTGAGTTTTTCTTATGGGAAACATGTCGCTGTGGATATTACCCGAATCTATGCGACCACAGAGGTCATTAGGGCAAAGAGAGACCGGGACCCCACTTCCTCCAGTCCCCGCCGAGGAGACCCCAGGAGACCTGCTGCTGGAAGACAGACAGGCGGGGGACAGGAAGTACCCTGAGGCCGCGTCCTGGCTGCAGTTCCGAATTCCTATGGGTTCTGGGCTGGGTGGGAGGTAGGGGGTGGGACGTGTGTGTGTGTGTGTGTGTGTGTGTGTGTGTGTGTGTGTGTGTGTAGGAGACATGCTCCTACCCTGCAATCTCCAGCTGGACAGGCCGCCCCTCCCCCAGTGTAATGCACCACTTCAAGGAGGCGCCATGGGATGAACTTCAAGGTCAGGCATTGGGGGGCTCACATCCCTGTGAGGGCAACGAGGTAGCAACAACAACTCCGGAGCTGCCCCCTCCACTGCAGACACTCTTGCTGCACAGAGCATGAGACCACGGGCACTGCCGTCCTTCCGTCGCGGTGACTGACTCACAGGGACCCTGGAGGACCCCTGTGGGTTTCTGTGACCATAACCCTTTATGGGAACAGAAAGCCTCCTCTCCCTTCTGAGGAACAGCTGGTGGTTTCAAACTCCTGACCCGCCCTGCGGGCAGCTGCCCAACAGGTAACCACTGTGCCACCGGGATCCCAGACACCGGTGACTGATAAGCACCCAAGCCCAGGGCTGTGCTCTGCCCTCACCACAGCCTGCCACCTCAGCCTCCCGCCCAATACGATGGCGCAGCCGGACCAGCTGGTCTCTAAGACGTCTTCCAGCCCAGAGGTCTGATGGGATTTCAAGGGAAGTCAGCCGCTCGTGTCTGCTGGGTGTCTTCACCCCGCTCTCCCTCCATCCCTGGTCTCTGGGGCAGGCAGGTGAGAAGGAGGCAGGGCCCGGGAGGGCAGAGGGGAGGAGTGTGGGGCTGACAGAGCAGCGGTGCCCATCCACCGCTCGGTTACCGAATGCCCGGAGAAGTTCACCCAGAGTTTACGGACCTCCTTGGTCACCAAGTGCTGCTTAAAGTCATCCATCAGGCCCTTAATTTGCCTGTGTCACTTTCCAGAGGAAAGCCTCCCGGTGGGCAGCCAGTGGGGCTTCCTCCCTCATGCACTTGATGAGGGCTCCGGCTAATTGGTCCAAGTTAAATCACTCCCAGAAACTCCGCCATGGTGGTGGCGGGTCTGGGAAGCCAGGAACG